TGCATCTGCATGGCTTGGAAGCAATAGGAATCGTTAAACTTTCAAGCTTAAATTATTATTATTATTATTATTATGCTATCAGATTCTGTAGCGCTGTACAATGTGTCTTATAGCCGATATATTAAGGTGTAGACCGGCCACTAAACCCTAACTGTGACGTAATGTTACATCAAGATATAGGCCTGTGAGGACAAATCTTGGCACTCCAGCTGTTTGTCCAACTCTTATTATGCACAGCCAACAACTTCCTGAGGAACAGCCCACACCAGCTGGAGTGCCAAAGGTTAGCTTTCGCTGAGCTGTAATTTCCAGATATCTGTTTACAGAGTGGGAGCTGCCTGGAGGCCGGCAAATAAAACTGAACATCTTTCATCTCCCACATACATCTCAAAGCCAAAAAGGAAGTGTGTGTGTATATTATTATATGGAAAGAATACATAGAGGGATACAATTCACATATTATATGCATACATGGATAGACCTGCACTTTCTATCTGATCAGCAATTTCTGGTCAAACACCCAGGTCAACGCTACATTCACTGCCATTGCTGGGATGTGGGAGATACATGGGAGCCATGAATTGGACCCGAGTGCTAGTCAGATGGACAGATATGTGGATGAGACAAATTGATTTTATATAGGTGTATAGATGGATCTAGTGTGTGACAGATGCAGCCTGGGTGCCATGGGACACATTACTTCCTGCAATGTACAGATCAAGATGTGCTACTGTGAAAATAGCCACATTAACGTTACAAAATATTGAAAACAGTATTCAACAGAAAAGCAAACCTAACCACTATCGCTCAATATCTGTGTTCAAGGCAAAAAGGTACACAAGAGCATAATCACATATACATGTTTTTCTTTTCGGAAGAGTTGTGTTATGACCTCAGAATTTTGGATACCCCTGAGGTGCATCAGCATGTTACAATAAATGCAGCTTTGTTGATTTAATTGTAGATTTTCTAGTTGTTCTATTCTTTATTGCTCTACATAATGGAACTGACTAACCCTGCATCCCAGTGATTCCACACAAGGCTCAACATTTAGCAAACACAAGTCATCAATCCCCAGTCTACTGTGCCATAGATATGGATAATGACAGGTTAGCTAAATGATTGGATTTCTGTGACAAGGGTCTGTTGAGCAAAAGCAACTTTACAATATAATATGTGGTTGTTGTAGTGATTATGTAGCCTGAGTGCCCTGGGGCTGTCTCATATATTAAAGAGACAATATAGACACGAAAACAAGTGCAGATTAATGTAGTTGTTCTGTGGTCTATAGCTTGTCCCTGCAGGCTCCCTAGTAACACCTCTAGTGACAGTCACTCAGACAGCCACAAGAGGTTCTTTGCTAGTCCAGTGCTTCATAGTGTGCAGCACCGACAGTCAGTGTCTAAGTGCAGAGTGTAGAGATGCAGAGATTAAATGCATCACTAGGAGGAGACGCTAACTAGTGCAACATGATGCTTTGCCGCGCATGCGTAGTAGTGTCCCAATGCTTTCCCATGGCAGAGAAAGCAACATTTGATGATCTCAGCCATGGAGGCGGAGCAAGCCGTGGCGAGCGCATTAGTACCTCCCCATAGGTCAGCACTGCTGCAATGCTTTCCTATCGGGTTTTGTTTGATGCTGGATATCCTCATGCAGAGGATGACCTGCGCCATTTATGTGACTAAAATCGCCAGCCACAGGAAGTGCTTTTAGTGGCTGTTAATCTTAACCCTACAATGTAATCATTGCCGATTCTCAGAAACTGCAATAATTACAATTGCTGGGTTAAGTGGACAGATAAATTGCACCCAGACCACTTCCATGAGCTTTTGTAGTCTAGGTGGCTATAGTTTCTACAAAACTAACCTGTTTTACATTGCAGGGTTATACCTACAAGGCCACTGTACACAGATCACTTCATGTACTGCTTATGATATCTAAACTAACCCTTTATTTAAAAAAAAAAAAAAAAAAATGCTGAATGTCTCATGACAGGTACACTTTTAAGCATTAAATCGCAAGTGTGTAATTTGTACAACAGGGTTGCCAAAGCATAAGGTTGTTGCAATTCTACAACATCTGTTTAAGGTTTAATGAAGCAAGTTTACTTCTCTGGAAGTTACAGTTCCTCAATCCCTTATATGTGTAAACTCTACTTTGGGACTTACTGGGTTACTCTCTTAAACATCTACCAATAAATGCCATGAGCTTGGACATCAACAGTGCTGAATGCAAGCTTGCGCCAGTGTGTTATGATTCACACATAGTAACGCAATTTGCACTTTGTGCCTGGCTGTGCTGGACAGCCTGTTAAAATTATACAATAAAAATGGTGAAATGTTTTTTGACACGTAGACAGGTCAGAGTTTAAAATTTAACCCCTTAAGGACACATGACATGTCATGATTCCCTTTTATTCCAGAAGTTTAGTCCATAAGGGGTTAAAGAAGTCTTTGACAGCTCACGTTGTCTCACTTCGATGACATCTGCTTAATAATTTACATTGCCTACAATACCATATAAAATATATATCTATAGATTTGTACAATGTCTGAGGGACATTAACCCATCAGAGCTCAGGACACACAGTTACCGTTCACCCCTCAGTGCCCGAACACACACAGTTACCGTTAACCCCTCAGCAGTGCCCGGACACACACAAACACACAAACCGTTAACCCCTCAGCAGTGCCCGGACACACACAAACACACAAACCGTTCACCCCTCAACAGTGCCCGGACACACACACACACACACACACACAGTTACCGTTCACCCCTCAGCAGTGCCCGGACACACACACACACACAGTTACCTTTCACCCCTCAGCAGTGCCCGGACACACACACACACAGTTACCGTTCACCCCTCAGTGTCCGGACACACACACACACACAGTTACCGTTCACCCCTCAGCAGTGCCCGGACACACACACACAGTTACCGTTAACCCCTCAGTGCCCGGACACACACACACAGTTACCGTTCACCCCTCAGCAGTGCCCGGACACACACACACACACACAGTTACCGTTCACACCTCAGCAGTGCCCGGACACACACACACACAGTTACCGTTCACACCTCAGCAGTGCCCGGACACACACACACACAGTTACCGTTCACACCTCAGCAGTGCCCGGACACACACACACA